GTTTCCATTTCTATGATAATATCCCTCTATTACTTTACTGTTAAGAACAATGCTGCCTGTTGGTATTAGGTAAATCTCTTTTATTATGACAGATATATTTTGACTCAACTTTCTGATGAACATCAGAATTAATGAAGTCTTTGAATATATTCCTATTTTTCAGATGAAACAAAGATGACAGAATCTTGTGAAAAATTATGAAGAAATAAGATGAACACTTGAATGTAGTAATGACAATGGATAAAATATGAGTATTGCCTCTTTTTGGCCATCAGTTATAATATAGTTAAAAATCTATACACATTATGTCTAATAATCATTTGTTTGCTTGAAAAACTTATTTTGCTCCCTAAACTGAGGACTTTTATGTTATTTTTGTGAACTAGAAAAAAAAATGAACAAGGCCAATTAACCTACCTCAAAATACAGGGAGGCAGAGTTAATTTGTCTTCCACAGGAAAAAAAAAACAAATGCTATTCTATTCTAACAGATCAGTACTCAATCTAGCAAACACATTTTTGGGTGGTATGGAGGATATTATTGGAATTTTTAAAAAGTATGTAATCCTTTACATTTGCTAAATTTAGCAGGAGAAAATAAGTAAGTATACAAAAGCCTCTGGACAGAGTGGAAAGTCACAGGTGGCATATATATGTATGTGCGCATGTCTGTGGGCACATTTATGTTTGGGATGTAATTACTGATGCTTTCACGCTTTCCCATGCCTCACGCTTTCCTGAGGCTGGCCATGGCTCACGGAGGGAATGAGGCTAGCACTCGGCTTGGCTCTTTCTGAACTGTCTCCTTTGCAAGCTCCCACGAGACCCTTTCTCTGGCACCAGGGAACCACATTTTCAGCATCCATCCACACAGAACCTGGGCCCTGGGCATCAGAGTTTCTTCTTGTTTATTTACAGATACTAAAGCACTTTCTAGGTGGATTATATTTTTCAACTAAAACAAAAATTGACTTTTGAGTCAGTTTAATCTCTTACACTTTTGGAAGCATAAGCATTAGGTCCCTACAGAACACTTCACTTGAAATGGAAGCTATTATACTTAGCACTGGCATGACTGATATTTTAAAGAAGTATTTTTCCTAGCTAAAACTAGTTTTATAAACAAGATGTATTAAATTAATAAATGATAACCTAAGATTTAGAGTAATCAAATATTATTGCAAATTTAAAGACTGAATTAAACCAAGGGGAAAACTAATTTCTTTGCTTTATGAAAGAAATCATTACAGCTCATTCTCTTTAAGGTACGGCATTACTTAGAGACTGTCCACATGCCTTTTTTTGGCCTTTGAATCATCAAACCCAGGCTCAAGAGGGACCAGAACCAGCTCTTTTCTTAAAAGAAAAGATAAAAACAAGGGGCTAGAAGAGCAGGTACTTAAAAACCAGGCCTGGCACCATAGTCTACAGATGGAAGGCCCAAGAAAGGGCAGAGTCTTCACGCTGTAAATCCTGAGACCAAAGAATCCTCTGGTCTGTTCCAACTAACTGACACACGAGGTGCTAGGACAGTGAAGGAGAGAGTGCCAGTGCAGCCCAACAGCAGACAGGCGAACCTGGTATGCGTGGCACCTTTACATGTCCCCGTCTCACATAACACAGGAGGAAGGTTCCTAACTTCCCAACCCTGGTCCTTGCAGGAAGGGAGTGAGGCCGGATAGCAGACCCGTCAATAACACCACTGAGGAAGGCCAACCACCACGCCTGCAAAGTGGTATGACTTCACACCAGGCAGAAGGAGAAAATTCAACATCAGCTTACACCTTATTTTTATTTAGACTTATATCCATCTTGATGAAATATTTTCCTTTAACTGTGGAAAAATCTAGCAGAACTGACCAACACACATTAAACTGAAACATTATTGTATATTCAAGGCCGGTCCACACTCTGTTTGCAGATTGCCTTTCAATAAAAACCCAACAGAAAGAACACTTTTCTCCATTCAGTCAGAAAGAGTCATACTTTACTAAAGAAACTGAAAAAAAAAAACACCAACGCAGTTCCACACTGTCATTCATAAAAAATGACTCCCATGTAAGCACCATCATACTGCACCCAGAGACCTTCAGGTAAAATGATATGCAGGATGGTAGTCAGGCTTGGAAATAGGAAAGTCGAAACCCTTCTCTGGTGGGGGAAAATACTATGTCCTTTGATAATTATGTCGCCCTGTCACTCATGTTCCTTCAGTTGTCAAACATTTTTGTTAGTACAAAAAGGCCAACATTTCTCCTTTTTATATTTTTCCTGGAGTGTCAACAGAATTAAATTGTGACTGCTTTTATTAAAAATTGCCACTGAGCAAGATGACAAATAAGACTTTTAAAACTAAAGCAATTAACTTTATTTCTTAAAGTATAATTAAGATGTTTTAAAATTACTTTAAAATCATATCCTAAATTTCCTAGACTATCCTAATAACCTGTTAAGCACACAGGCATTCTTTGACAAAAGCAGGTTGGTAACTGGAAGCCCCTCACAGAGTGTAAATCATTGTTCCGGATCTCTCCTATGCCAAAGCTATGGATTGACCAAATTATACAGAAGAACTAACTGGCAAAATGTTAAGATTTTACAAAAAAATGAGGCCAAATGTCAACAATAATTTCAGACATCACACTTCAAACTCACTAATAGATTGACCATTTCCCTGAAGTTATTTATACCTTAGATCTTAAAAAGGTAAAAACATGGAACTTAAATATTCCTGTCCCCTACCACAATGTTTTGCTAACTGGAGCGTGAAATCATGTGTTATCATGTCGTCTCTGCCTGAGGAAATAATTTTGTTTTTTCTAGAAGGATCATGTCAATACATTTATTTTTGCCAGAAAATAATTTTACTTTTTATTTTGCAAGAAACCAGTATTTGCAATAACCAGCTTCAGGTTTGTTGAATTACAAAAGCATAAGAAGAAAGACTGAAATAAGTATAAGAACCAATTTATTTTTAAAATATGCAAATTTAGAGCAAGTAAATAATTTCCAAAGACAGAAGCTAAATGGACCTTTCTTTTTACTCTTGGTGATACCTCTACATTATTCTCAAATAAAATGATTTAAAATCAACTGCTGTAAGGTTACAAGCTTAAATCACTTTTCCACTATTGTTTCTATATTTGATGGAATATCTTCAATCTCTTTTCTCTTTTACTTCTCATAAGAAAGAGTCCTCATGCCAAAACCAAAATCTGATGTTTCAATAACTGTGTAGACCCTTATTTTTCTTTTTCTTAATATTGAGTTTATGGAAAAACTACATTCCCTCCACCCCTAAAGCAGAACTTCTAATATCTACTTTTATTTCACACACTCTGTATATATAGCTCAGTATGAGTAATGTCAGTAAACAATAATCGGGTTGTATTCAATCAAAGTGAAGTTTGGAAGTTTTTCAGTTTGTACTCTACTAAGTTATTACTCTGCCTAACTTCTCACTTTTCACCACATAGTTTTGGTGCTGAATAGACAAGCTACAGCATTTTTAAAAAGGTAGAGTTTAAAAACAATAGCAAATTACTGCTAATTTCTTCTTGATGGGTGCTATTAACACCTATTAACATCACTAAGAGGAACAAGGTTGTACCCAAGACAAAACATCAGCCTGGTCTGTACCATGAAAGACAACAGAAACTTAGGGAAGGAATGTGAACATACTAGTAAAATATAAACTTTTTCGTGCTATTCTCTTATGAAGTGAATCACAACCATAAATCAGAAACAGCTTTTGAAAATAAGTATGATTATTAGGCTTTTCTAAAGGCAATTCTAAACATGTCATTCACTTGTAATATTTCTATCTTAAAAAAATACTAATGCCTTACATGTGATTTCCTTAAGGAAAGCAAACACTTTAAAATGCAAAAAACTCTCCTATTTTACCCTAAGTGTAAAAATAAATATTTCAGTAAGGAATGGGAAAAAAATGAAGCCCATTTAAATAATTTCATTGCACTGTAAGTTGCCAATTCATCTGTGAGTAGTTTCACCACAGATGAAAAGAAATCAAAATACAGGACAGATGTTGAACAAACCGCAGTTAAGGTCTGTCACACACTGGCATTCTTCAAATGATTTTGGCTCATCTATTAAATAAGGTGCATTTTGCTTGATTTCGAAAAGGGAAACATCAGGAAATATTTAAAGGCCAATTGCTGCCAATTAACTTTGATCAGTAAAAGTTCTATTTGAATCTTTCAGATTCTTCTCTTGTCTGAAATCACACACATTTATAAAATCTAGCAAAACAACAACTTGATGACTAATGGCTGTTAGCAGCCCTACCACAAGCTTGCTTAACAGCAGGATTTAAATAAACAATTGTCTCTATCAAGAAGGGAGTGAAATGTAATTAAAGTCATGTTTTTCTCAGAATGGAGACATAAAAAACAATATTCTTTATTCTTAAGAATGCTGCTCTCCGAGATCATCCTGTTTGTCATTGCCTATAACACATTTAACTAGCCATCTGATACAAGTTTCTCCCCAAATTATAATGGACAAATAAAACCAGGGGCAGTTCACCATAAGAAATCCTTGCACCCCAAGAGCAGAGGCCTGACTGCAATGCCATCCGACCAATGGGGCCAGCCAGGAAGGACAGCACCCAAGACAGGGACAATCTGACGTGAGCGGCGTGTGCAAGTACCACAGTTCTGCTGGATTCTAACGGCAGTTCATCGCAATGTAACCGAGAAATCTGTAGCTTCTCCTAATCGACACAACTTGGCATTTAAGATTCTCGACCTCAAATTTTCATCCTTATCAATGGTTACGTGGAATCTAATTTTGAAACACAACAGCCCAAGTAAAGCAAAACAAGTACCATGAAGGCAAAATGTGTTACCATATAATCGATCATTACTTTACCTTGTTATTCCAAATAGAGGTCTGAAAAACAATATCCCCTTATTGTAAGACCAATCTCCTATTTTCATTTTTGCAACATGGTGTTTATAGGAAATAATTGAACTTACTTCTAAGTCATTAAAAAATAGATGTGTGTCGGCCAAGTTGAAAATCATTTCTTCCATTCGCAGTCCAAGGGAAACTGAAGTAGGTGGATCCTAGAACAAGAATTTTATAGGTCAAGAACATATACAGTCCAGGTTACATGAGCTGTAGTGTCACATTAAGAGGGAGCCAGTGTTGGGAAAGGCTCAAAGTGACCCCTTGGGTGGCTTGGGCTCTGGTTGCCTTTGGTGTGCATCGTTTATTTTATATGCAAACATCAATGACTTATTTTATTTAAAAAGTTTCCCTGAGGTTCTTGGAACTTCGCATAAGGAAGAAATAACTTGCTGTAAAGTAGAAGAAATTCAGCTTCAAACATGTTTCAGGAGCAAGAAAGTCAGTAAATCAAGGAGACACTGTTTATGTTGCACCACAATCCATTAAAAGTGTCTAAAAGCACCCTCACAAATATTAGAGAAAGGACTGAACAGAGATTAAGTTCTAAAGGGCAGTGAATACTAATTCTACTGCAAATGGTAGCTATCATTATCTTTTCTTCATTCAGACTGCCTGCCAATTTTGAGTATACTCAAAAGAAGGAAGTGACCTCATGGCCTTGTGCCAGCTCAGGAGGCACATTTAACATTCACGTGACACTGTCCAGTCATCAAAAAGCCAGTACTATCCACGGAGGGGGCAGCAGCATGCTGAGGTGTCCTGTGGCTTCTACCCAAGGCTTCACATAACCATACACTGACCACATTTACTGGCACTGAGATCAACTTGGGGGGATATGGAGATATTTGCAGGTTTTAGTGGGTCACTGTATTCATAGAGTATCAAACCCGAGGAAGCAAGATGGTTCATGGTGAGTATCCTGTACAATTAGTGAAGAAGGAAAACATGTCGGTACAGAAAGTGTTCAAGGATGTAATGTGAGTTTTTGAAAGTTTCATTGATATTTTAATAACAATACCAACTTTCATAGGTATGGTGGTATTATGAAACTTTTCCAAAGAATAATTTCTGAAATGCTATTGTATTATCACAGCAAACCTTTGGAAGAAGATCATCATTTCACTGGGGAAATTGTAACTAGAGGAGTTATGCCTTTACTTAGGCCCTTCATCTGGCTGGGGTGTACTCTGTGTATCACCAGTCTTTGAGTCTTATACTACAATTGAGGATATAAAACCCAGAGAAAATAAGATTACTGTTTTCTAATACTGTCCAACATGAATCTTGTACATTTTCTCTTTTGTCTTTATTCCAAAGCTCAAGACCTGCCTGTCTTACTCCCTACTGTCCATGTATCCATAGCCTATTAATCCTTGGGGATTCACTCCAAGTGCCACCTCTCATGGGCTTTGGAAAGTAGCAGGAAGTGACAGAGAAGAGCCTCTGACCCTGAGCTTACTTTGGTGTCTTCCTCTCATGGAGCCTCAGTTTGCCCATCTAATAAATCAGACAATACCAACTAGCTAGATGGCAAACACACTGTTCTCAGAGAATAAATGGAATAAATTTTCTTTTCTTAGAATACAAAAAGTATTCTGATCTTTTAATTTGGCACAACCATACACCTCGGAGAGAACAGGGGCCTGGGATGTAGTGATGGGGCAGGGGTGGGGGGGTGAGGCAGAGACACATTGGGCACCTGCCAGAGGCCAATCAGCTGTGGCCGGGGAGGAGGAGTCAACCTTGCCAGCCCTGCCCACCTACACTGCTAGCCCCACGCATGACACTAGCCCTGCCCATACCCTGCGAGCACTGCCCAGCATCTGAACTTACAGAAGTCCCAGAGGAGGAACAGAAGGCTTGGGAAAATGTGGCAGGATGGCATCGCTGGTCTGAATTCCTCTTCTGCCCTAGGCCTTCTCTGCCAGCTGACAGTGGAAAGGTGGCAGAGAACACAACATGGCCTGAAGTTGGGGGTTAGACTGCCAAGAGGTTTAACAAAAGCCCTGGGGTTTATAAGAGAGCAGGAAGGAGGGAAAGACACAGAGGCCTACTGAGTGAGCAGGAGCTGGGGGTGGGGAGGAACGGACTATTTCCCTCAGTCTTCCTACGTGATAATTCATACTCCTTAGCCTCCTCAAATTGTCCCTGTTTAATACCACCTAAAACCTATAGGTTGCCAAGAATTAAAAACAGTTTACATGAACCAATAAAGAAAAACTCTCATTGAGTGCTTCTTTTATGGGAAAATGCTCACTCACTTCCATCTAAGTATCAGCAAGCATGCTGGACAAAGCAAATACTCAAGTGTACCCTAGAGCAGAATTAACGAGTGGGGGGAGTTCAAACAGCTGTTTCTAAAGCAAAACACCTGACCAAGGTGTTTACTCCCTCTTGTTCAGGCTAATAAAATTCCACCGACTTGTCTCATAACCAGGTCAATGAATCTTTTTATGTGGCAAGGCAGAAGAGCCTCACCACATTTATTTAATTGCCAGTTCCAGAATTTATGTGCCATGGTATTGTTACTCTGAAAAAGCATTATTCCTTCTTGATATTGTTGCTTATTTATGCCACCATCAAAAGAACTACCTCATTGTTTGTTAATGCATAGCATACTTTAACTTTTCTTCATAAATTAGAGTAATGGCTTTCGAGTCGGAATACTAATAAATTTTAAAGGCTTGTTCAATCTTGTGGTCAAATATGACACAGATGTTGGTCTTATTTACCTTTTAATGTTTTTCTCTTTTGTTATTAGCTTTCATGCCTTAACAGCTTTTATACCTGCCACTCCACGTTGCTATGAAACATTTACTACACCAAAAAGAAGTTAACTTGAATGAGAGAATTTTAGAACAGGAAGGGGCTCTAGTTGAGGGAACAGTGTTTCTCAAATATTTTTTAAACCATGATCCACAGTAAAAAAATCCATTTTACACCCTGATCTAGTAATACCTCTCTCACTTTCTCTCTCTCTCTCTCTCTCTCTCTCTCTCTCTCTCACACACACACACACACACACACACACACACACACACACAGCTGAAATCACGCAAGTTTGGCAAAAGAAGACTTTCCTCAATGTGTGGGGTGTATTCTGATATTTTCCATTTCATTGCCAACTGAAGTGTCGCAATCAGCAGACTGAAAAGCAGAGCTGTGGAGGATACCTACTTTTGATATGAGAGATGGGAGAACTGAGAGTCGGCGGTGCGGTGATTTGCTTGTGGTAACAGAGCTGGGAGGGTGCAAAGTCACCTCACCTGACCACGTGTTTTCCCTGAGAGCAGACTAGCAGGAGAGCAGACCAGTAGCTACACCCACAGATTGGCTCACGCATTCTAGCCCTGGCGTTCTTTTCACATGGAGATTAGGTTTTATTTTCCTGTTGTAATAATCTTTTAATAGTTTTCAAAGTTTTCAAATATGTCTGATACAAAGTAAATGTGACAAGACCTAATACTGAACAGTTAATAAATTAGTCATGGCCTGGTCGCTTATTTTGGCATATTTAGATGAAGAAAGAAAAAAACACATTTTTTAGACCAAAACTGAAATGGTAAAATCACCATGTCTTTGGCTTAGCCTTACTTTTCTTGTGCTTTTTGCAATAACGAATTCCAGAGCTGCAGTTATGAAATGGTTGCTTTTGAAACACCATGTTTTGTTCGATCACTTTTGAAAAATTACAGAACTTAGCCTCCACTTCAAAGAAACATCTCTTTTTAAGGAAAACTCTCTGCCAAATCTCTCCATTCTTTTCTGAACTTGACCCCTCTCTGGCAGTTGGTATTACTGTCTAATCGTGACATTTCTCCATTTCTGGGGCCAATCACATTGTTGCTGTTTTCTGACCACGTTCCTGGGATCTGATTGTCTGCCACCTGTCCCTTAAATAACCTTGGTCCCCAGGACAGTTTTCATCCATTCCTCACTCTCTTCACACTGCTGTACAGACCCCGACACACTCACAACTTCAACCATCGCCACCGACCCTTTATTAAATCAGATCTCACCTGTAGGCCCCTGCAGCAATGACCTGTTGGTCGTTTCCAGTGGAATGTTCTGCAGAGCACCTGACCCTCAACATGCTTCAGGTTGGAGTCATCATTTCTCCTGGAAACCTACTGTTTTCCTTCTTCAGGAAAATGGCAGCCTGCCAGCCCCAAACTTGATATTCTTCCACCTTTTATCCCCACCCCAAATCAGTCTCCACACCCTGCCACTGGGACCTAGAATCCAAACCTTCCTCATATTCACTGCTCCTTTAATTTTCCCCAGCCACCTGCCCACTTTGTAGATATCTTCACTGGGATCCCTCACAGGCTCCAAATCCAGGGTCCCACCATGCCCACTCCACTCTCCCATCTCTTTCCGAGAACATCCAAACACTTGGAACCAGTAGGAAGGACCCATAAATGTCTGACTCTTGTTTATAGTTTTCCCAACTATTCTTTCATCATAAAATCTTTTCTGCAAAGATGGCTAGGCAGAGGTCTAATGTAAAAGACAAGCAGCTCTGATGGAAGTTCCCACCAAAAACCTAAAGGAAACCGGGGCACTCTTCTCCACTGGCTACCCACCTGAACGGACCGAGGGCTCTGACCGCGCCTGTGTGTTCATGCCCTGCACCCTCACGCAGCGCTTCTCCCACTGCCCTTCATCAGTTCAGAGTCTCCTCCCTGACTCTCCCTACCTGGGCTCATCACCTGCTGGGTACCCCAGTTGTGTGCATTCTTGTCTAAGGAGGGCAGACCCTCATCCCTATGTCCTTCTCTCTCCATCCTTGGGACTTAGCACAATGTCAGCCTTTCCCAGTCTGGTAGAGGAACAGATGAATGAAAAGCGGTAAAAATAAAATACTTCAAACAATTCCAATGAAGAAAAAAATAAAATATTAAATTTGATCTTTAGTTAGTTGTTAGCGTTCAGTGTTGCTTAAAAAAAATCCCAGATACCTAGCTTAGGAAAAACAGATGTTTGAATCCTAAAATCATTCTATCTACATACTATAGTATTAAACATGTTCACTAGTAATGCCTGATTAATTTGTACCTTATTAAAGAACAGCCTCTTTTCTTTTTTTAAAGATTTTTTAAAAAAGATTTTATTTAGAGAGAGGAGGAGGGAGGGGGGAGAGAGGGGGAAAGGA